GAGCCATCGATAACGAAACCCCAATACAGCAGACGAGGATCTCTGGTGGGGACAACACCATTACTACCAATCTAGCACTATCAGCTATATCAAATTATCGTTCTGCGAAGCCAGGTCTCACGAAAGCCAGACTCTTTCTCGTGGCATAAGGCGTGTTGCGGCCCGGACTTGGTGGATTTGAGCTAGCTTTGGTTTCCAAGGTCCGCGGAGGCGAGAGCACTAGCGAAGAAAATCTTAACGCAGACCATTCAACTAGCGTACCCAGCAACGGTCAAACCGCACGCCGCTGAGGTCAGTAATACAATTAATCGTCATCTCATCTATTAACAGGCGAGCTTTGGGTCAACAATTCGGGGAAGAGGGACCGCGGAAGCACTACTCGGCCTTTACCAAACTATACCGAGCTTGTGTGCTAGGGCCAGCTTACTCTTCTAAAAACTCTCGCATCTGGAAGTCGTTGGTTAGTGAGCAGCTGTATGATGAGAGGGGTCGCCATGCTAAGATCGGCCCACTGGGCACCGAAAGCTCACAGGAGACAAATGCTGCCACCTACAATTGCAGGCTGCTCTCATCCAATCCATCTCATTTGTTCTCTAATTCACGATTTACGAAGTGTGACATGCTCACACTTTTTAAGCGATGTCCGGATGGTACACATAGTGGACTGCAAACTGTGGCTTGGGGTGGCACAGCTCTGCAACGGAAGTCCGTCTGTCTTGAGGCCAGCACGATCCGCGTCGGAATACGATTAAGCTGAAAGGAAGAGCAAAAACAGAATGCCTTCCTCGAAGATTGCCAAAATTCCTTTGAGCGTCAATACTTTCTCTAGACACACTATGAATTGATGACTTTAAGAGTCAGCTGGCCACTTGACCTCAGCTGCCCAACATGCTTCTCGAATTTGGATCGGGCCTTTCCTCCATGCCCTGCAGCAGCACACTACTCTTCTTATGCTCTCCTAAGTACCCTGCGACTTGGTATAGCCCCTCTGGGATGTTTTGAGAAGAGCTTGCTGAACGGTTTCGTCCTGCTTCGCATCATCATCTAAGAACTTCGCATTCCTGAACCTTGGCTTTTCTACCTTCTTCTCGTCTGCCGTCTCATTCTTGCCCTTATTCGCTGCAGCACCTTTTACGAACTCCGCAAAAGAACTGGACTGAAGAAAGCTCGTCGTACCGGTTGTACTCTCTATAGCGGCCTAACGCAGACTACGAATTGCGGCGACGCTTCAAAAATGCCCACTGTATAATGTCAGCATGTGATTTTGGAGCAGCTACAGTATGCCTGTCACGTTCACATCACTCATGTTGCAGCCGAGGCTGTTTGTTAGAGCCCTGCGATCATCCAAGCCCGTATTCGACTTCTTATCGTATGCGTCGTCCAATACCTTCGCCGTCGAGGCGTCTTCGAAACCAGGTACATCTCCGCCATGGGTGGCTGCATGTGAGTTACTCTGTTCCATTCCTTCTTCATTTATTCCAGGCACAAAAGTCTTAATGTTATTGTCCGTCCTCGCAGAATGAGCCGAGCCCTTGGAGCTCACTGGCGACTAGTAGTTGTCATGTACCCCCAGCTCATTATCATCCCGTGTTATGACGGACCCATCCAATGCCATGACATACCCAAGTCGACGTAGGAGTCCAAAGTGTTTCTCTGCATTAATCTTCTTCCAATCTTCACCATATATGATCCCAGGCACTTCGAGAGCGTTTTCGATAGCTAGTGTAGTCGGCAAAGCGAAATTGTAAATCACTAGCTATAGCCATTGTGTAGAGTTGTCGTAAACGGCGATAACGACACTATCTTTCTATATTATAACTCTCGATTCCGGGATTATAATAATACTACTATAAATAGTAATATTAGCGTATTCGATCTACTTAAGAATTTCCTAGGTATCGCTATCTCTAGATATATATTAGCTAATAATACTCTAACTATACTTAATATTTAAGTCGAGAAGTTCTATAGATAGTATAAGTCGTAGAGCTATAATAGCGTATTAATATAGCTTACTTACTACGTAAGTAAATATATAGCTACTACTATATAAACGCCCGAGAAAGCACGAGCATCAGGAAAGGTTCGGCGCGAGGACATAGCAATGACTGCAAAACAGGAGGGAATGCTTTCACAACCGGACAGTTGCAAAGACGGTGCAGCGCGCATCGGCCTCAACCGTTCACGAAATCGGGCACAGGCAAGCAGCCAGGTCAAAGTAAAAGTGCCCTTGTACACTGAGGGAATAGATCAAAATACGCAGTGGAAGATTCGGATTCTGGCAAGCCAACCCCTACCTGTCTATCAAATTAGTGAATGTCCGCGGGACTGACCATGAATCAAACCACCAGCGGATCTAATGACCAAGAATCTGGTGTACGAATTTTCAAAGGCTAGCAAAGCCTTCTTCGATGTTACATTTCATAGTCGCAATATCGACCCGTCAGAGATCGCGCTATCTTATTGCCGTAAGACGTACGAACAGGCGCCCGCCACGGCCCTTTCTACTCCATGATCCATGCTGTTTCCATCCCTCGGTATTAGCTTGTGAAGCATCTGAGGGCGGGCGGAGTATATTGTGCCTCCTAGAGCGTACGAGAGGTCGTATTCGCATCAAGTCGCACATCGTCCACACTTCGTGCCACAGCCTCCGGGCAAGTCGAAAAACTCCACGCCTCTCGTCAAACGAATCAACCGGAACAGGGAGTCCGTCTCTTCCAATCACCATCAGGAATCATTCGGGACTCTTTTGCCATCCATGACGCAAAAGACACGTGAGGTCGAATCTGCCGAAAGTAAAACTTTTTGATGCTGCATCTTGAGGCTCAAGTAGCAAGATCCTCACCCTCTACAAGCGGGGCATGCTGCATATGCTCAAACATGACTCGTGCTATGTTTATCTGGTCCACCTGCTTCTCGCAGACTAGCACATCATTGAACGTGTTTCGAACGATAGCGAAAAGACTTGTAAAGCAGATTGCTAAATCTTCCTCGCGGTCAGTGTCGATGAGCGTGTTAACAAGTCCGGTGCAGTCCTTTTCTATGCAGGTAAATAACAAGTGGGAGTGTCTCCTGCTCAATAATAGCATTGGAAACGAGAGCTTATCGTCGAGTGCCCACACCGGGACATAGAATGACGCCTTGGCGTCAAGGTGATATTCTTCTTTTGGGTGGAATACGAGGCCCGATGCCTCTCTCCGGATGCAAGGGTGCACCTGCAAGAGCAAAACGATACAGTTGGGAATCTCTTGCTCGATTGCTGCTTTCGCAACTGCGCGGTAGACTTCGTCACGAAGCTCTCTAGGTAATCTGCCAAGCATGCCCAGAGCGTTCTGCTTGTCTGAATCGGGCGTGCGAAAGTCGCACTTCGATAAGTTACTGCTGATAAACGGCGGCTCGTGTCGTGTTTCGACGATCTTCGTGGATGTGGTGACTTAGTCTCCAGATTCGGTGCCCTTCGCGCGCTTGCTGGCGCCGTCGATGCTGCGGATGTGCTTCATGGTGTCTAGTGGCGGCGTGCGAGATGTAACGCGGCGCAGTCCGCATTGGATCGCAGGTTGCAAGTTTGTTGATGTTGACGGAGTAGAGGATCGAGGAAGCGCTAAAACGAGATGGCGGCAGGGATCATCCCTGCTCAGGAATTGGCCTTTCTTCTCGACTGCCTTGTCGTGACCGATATTTTAGTCAAGCAACAAACAAAACGACCAAGACCGGACGTCTTTTGCCCTCATCATGCTCCAAGCCCACTAATCGATTGAGGAGCCTGAGGGTCGGGCCAACACGAAAGCCCAGCGTTGGAGCACACCGATTGCCAATGGACGTGCCTTGTGGTTCAACGTGCAAGTACCTTCCTCCATCAATGAGACGTGCAGGAGGTCCAGATGAGGGTTTGAATGAGGGCGACCGTGACGCAGAACGCAGCGATGAAGCGCTCGTCCGGTCACCGCAGCTTGCCATTGAGAACTAGACGGACACGTCGACTGCAGTTGCTCCGTAGTAGTGTGTAGTATCGTAAAAGTGGCCTGGTGCGACAGTTAACGAGAAGCCGCCTCGACACATGCAGAAGAATCTGCCCCTGCACGAGGGCATCTGAGCTCGGGTCTTCCAGCGCCAGCCAGCGATGCCTCCAGCTTGTCATGCTTGCATTCGCACCTCCTGCTGTCATCAAATGGTCAATGAGCCCTGCCGAAGCGCGGACTTCGCCCGAACCACGCGTGCCATATCGGCTGCTGTCCAGTGTGGGTAGTCTGTCGCTGTCGCTGCAGCTTGGAGGCAGTGATTGTTCCGATCCAGCAGAACGTCTCGTGGGCGCACGGCACGCGTAATCTCGATGTCTGCTTCGCTTTCTGCATCGTATCTGTTCTCTCTCCTTCGCTCGGTCTATTTCTTGAGCAAGTTCTTTTTGCTACCTTTGGCGTCGGCTCAACGTTGTTAAAAGCACCCGATTGGATCCAGAAGATGCTGCTTGGCGCTCGCCACGTCTGCATGTTGCGAACTCTTTGCTCATGCTGTCTCTATGTAGAATCCTCCTCGCGCCGCCTGCCTTGCTCTCTCGCGCACGCAGCAGCAGGCAATCACTGGACACGATCCCCGGAATCGTCAGTCGGTGTCTCTGCGAGCTGACGCAGAGGCTGGAGAATACGCCTCCCAAGCGCATCCCGTTCCATTTCGCGAAGAATTTGATGAAATCGGAGCTAACAGTGCTTGACTTTGGCCGATCCTTTCAACGCTCTGCTGACCTCACTGGCTTTCTTGAGCGAGGGAGTCAGTTGGCGGATGCACTCGTGAGTCGACTTGTCAGTGCCATCAAGAGTGTGAATTTGCATCGTGACATCCAGCATGGACATTGCCGCAGAAGAAAGATTTCACTTTAGCGGTTGTGTCCGAGATCGGGGAACCGCTGCCCAAGTCCAAGTTCATCTGCCAACACGTTCATTCGCGTGGCAGCACCACGAGAACACGATGATGAGGGCTGATGGAGTCTATCGACGTCGGCTTGATCATGAATTTGTTTGCGGTCTCTCCATGAACCCTTTCTTGAGCATCGTCAGCACGAAATCCTTCTGTGCAATATGATTGCGCATCCCCAACCTTCCCATCGGCGGCGCGCACACCTTGTGGTTCTTCTCTGCCTGCCAGTGTCTGCAAATGGTGGCGTGAGAATTGTAGAATATGCCCTCACATCTTCACTACTACCCACTTATCCTCCACGCTGGGGCTGGACATTTCGCCCTGTCCGGTCGCATCATCTCGCTTGTCCTGATGGTCGCGCCTCACCTGCTCCACGACCTGGAAATGATTTCCCTTGGTGCTCATATCGATTGTCCACTTCCCGATGACCTCAGTCGTGCTGGTCAAAGATCTCCAGACTGCATGCTTCAGCGGGACAAGCACAGAATCAATGGTCAGTTGAGCCATATGTCGGAGGAAAGTGATCGCGCGGTCGAGGTGCCGGTCAGCAGCGTCGAAGGCAGTGACGATGGCAGCAGAAACGTGCATGGCGAAGTGCTTGATTCTCGTGGCGCGATACTTGAGGCCTGCGAAACTCGTCTGCGGAGGGGCTGAAGCGTAGTATCAGTGTCTGTTTGCTGGCGAGAAACGATGTGGTACTCCACAAGAATAAACCAAGTAGCAAAGACCGAGATGAGGGCGACAAGAATAGCAACGAGTGCAAGATACCAGACTACGTGGCTTGAGTTAGCAGTGGGCGCTGCAGGCGATGGCTTTGGGGGCGGCGTGTCGAGCACTGGCATGCTGAGTGCGCCGCTGGCGAAGGCCATGAAGATCTCCGTGGAGATCATCTCGGATGCTGTCCTGACTGTTGTGAGATGATGGCGCAATGTTGGGGAGGTTGAGGATTAGGCTGCCATGCAGTCCATCGCAACGGCGCGGTGTTTGCTTCCACCGCTGCCAAACGTCATCGAATGCAATGGCACCAACAACTTGGTGCCAAACGACAGCGCCCACCACCTATCGCGCTTCATCTTGTCGCGGCCAACAAGCAGCAGCCACCTCGCGCTGCTGCGCTCTGATCAACCTCACCCGCAAACCTCACTTGACACCGATTCACCTCGGCTTCTTGTGCACGACGTCCACGAGTGCAAAGCCATGGACAGACACCGGCTACTGTACATCCTCACGACCTCTTCCAATAACCTTGCAGCTTGCTTTTTTCCTCCTGGACCACGATGCGGAACTGGAATTTTGCTGTTCACGCGCCAGCAAAAAGGGAAAAAGCCTGCATGGAGGGATAGTGGAAAACAAACATCAGAGAGGAGCAAGATGCTTGAGCATACGTCGTTGGACAGGCTTCGAATGGGCTTGCTTCCATTTGGAGAATGTCGAGAGACATGGACGTGCAAGTGACGGATCAAGAGGTGTCGTGGAGTACGGGATACTATATCAAAGTGCGGCGAACTCTCTTTCCACGCCGTGCCCGTGCCTGACGTGGTGCTTGATGCTGCCAAGTGAGACCCACGCTTGCCTTGTTCTTTAGCTTCACGACACTGAACCGCAATGCAGCTCCGACACTCATACTATTCAATCCCACTTCATCGTGCCCGGCATCTCATGTGCTATATTAAATAATGAAGGAAGCCAGCACCAATTCGCCCAAGCCAATTTCAAATTCGTTTTCGGTCCGTTACTTCGTGCTGGAATGTCCCGCTTGCTGAGCTGAGACAGCCATTTGCGCAGATTATGGCACGTTAATCGTAACAGCCCATTCTCGGGCGGCAAGTACTAGACCTTAGGAAAGGGCAACTTTTGGTCCCGGACAGGAGAAAGTTGAATTCACTCTTTGTATCTGCGGAAAGGACAACCATCGTGGTGCAATCTATACAAAGACAGGCAGCTCTAATCTTGCGAGTCGTGTTCTCACGTGTCGCCAGCGAAGCCGTGTAAGACGATCAACACTTTGTTGTTCCCGACGTCTGCCCTGGAGCATAGGAATCAGATCACGACCGAAGATGATAATTGTTTGCTGGTCATTGTCTGCAACTGTGTACGAACGTTTCGAAGTACCTTATATATTGTTCAATCTCTCTGCATCTCGTAGTTGCTACTGTCGTCTTTCTGTGAGTGCTCGTCGCAAATGGGCCGCGAGCTTTGTTCCGTCAGGTGTGTGTGCTATCGTGCACATAATAATGCAAGACCACTCAAATGCCAAGTAGGAATATTGTGGCAGACTTCGAACCCGCTCGTCCTCGCCCTGCTTGCTTCTGGTGGTTGATGAGGAATACAACACAGTTGCTCGACCTTGGAAGCCGCATCACTAGCAAGTGCGTATTGGCCACGTTGTAGTACGGCAATGCTCACACAGCGTACCTTCGGGAACCACGTCGAAGCCCAGATAAGCGCAGCATCCGAGTAGGCAGAACATACGCCAACCCTTTGGATCACCATATGCCCAGATCGCCTTGGCCATCTTAAAGCTCGTTGTTCTGTTGCCATGGGTCACATACACTGCTCCAGGAACTGACAGCGGCTGAGGCGGAACAGATGGAGAAGGATCCAGATAGACGGTGACTGCTGATGAACGTTCTGCGATTTGTGCTGGATTGATTTGTTGTGATGTTTGCGAAGACTGCGGTGAGCGAGATTGACCATTCTCAGTAAGGCTGAATGGCACGGCAGGTGGGTTCACAAAGTTTGAAAATGGCTCGCTGGAGGGTGCTGTACGCTGATGAGCAGCCTGTATGTTGGTGGCTGTCGAATGCACTCCCAATGGGATGCTGGAAGGCGACGTTGCCGTTGCTTCTGGTCCTGTGTTGAAGGTTGGCGTGAAAAACATCGATGCGCTGTCCGTAGTAGATGACCATAAGCTTGTCGACACTGGTTGCCACGGGTTTGTAGATCTTTCGAGCGAAGACAGCATTGGATGCAATTCTTCAGTGGGCAACGAAAAGCTCCAGTCCTCCTCCATAGCACATGTGGCTGCCGTTCAAGCGGTAGTCTTGAGGCAATGGAACTGCGGCCGGCGGTGTTGAAGCGTGATTCCAGAATGACTTGTTGTCCCAATCTGAAGAAGAGAGTTGTGGTACTTATGTCAATGATGCACACAGAGTGCTTTGGAGAGGGCTGCAAAAGACGACAGTCAATGATTCGGGGCAAAATGAATTGGGCTAAAACGAGGGCGAGATCGCTACGACCAGATATACATAATGGAGTGAGCGGCGACAATGGGTCGAACAAGAAACCGATCAATCGCTTTGCGCGGTGCTCACAATCAACTTACGGGTCCATGCAAGCTTGTCCCGTTCCTCGTGTCACCCGCACGCGCGTATCCGGAGCATCATGTCGAGATTGGTTCTCTGTGCCACTCGTGTGCAACGGCATGAGGATGGTCATCTGCAGTGTGTTCGGCGCTCTGATGCTCCAAGTCTAATGGCCAAATTGCACCCAATGACACCGCTTCTGGGTTGGTCAAAGTTTGGTACCGACGGACGCACAAGCCCTGGCTTTACGCTGTACACTCTACACTCATGATACTCCATGTCGTCTGCCAGCTCTTGAATGATGTCCTGCAGCTGAGTGGCATCACAATCGCAGGATTGACGATGCCGATACGAAGTCTGCGAGGTCGAGTACGAGCAGACAGGTCTGCGTGATCTTTGTTGGTCTTCGCGGTGGGCAGGCAGGGAACGCTCTTCGTCCTGTTCAAGTTTCGTACAGCACCACAAATGTCGGCGGCCTGCTTGTCGCGGCGGACACGGAAGTCTGAGAAATCAGATTCCAGTGAAAATGGAGTCTGAGATGCAAACTATTCTTGCCCACACTATAAGAACAATGGTCAAAAGCTGTCTCCTGCTCAGATCGGCATGCGTCGCATATGTTTAGTGATGGCCGGGTAGTGTGTTTGGCGATTTCGCTGCTTGGTGTCTTGGGGTCGCGACCGTCGGAGAAAGCTGCCAACTGCCAGCATCTAACCGGGAGTTGTAGAACTAGTGGGGTCGACTGTTCCCACCACGGAAGCAAGGAAGGGGAACGGCCTGAGCTAGGAGGCAGGTCGGCAGATCAAAAGCTCATCTTGAATAATGAATGAGATCCACGACTAGCTCCAGGTCGTTCACGATGATCTCCCATCGGTATGCGCTGGCATATTGTCGACAGCCTGGTGTACCAGCACCTGGGCCTCGTCGCGTGTACCTCCCGGAGGGATCAATGCGCCAATGGCATTTCGCACGCGCCACTCGAAGAAGTGCGGAGCATGGATGTCGTGCAGCATAGTTGGTGCGAGGGCGCAAGGTGGGTTTTTCAGCACATGAGTGATACCTCAATCCTTGCGATGCCTGCGGCTGCGAAGCTTGGGCCCTCTCGTCCTGTGGGCGCCATTCGATGGAGACACTGCCTTCGATCCGAGGGCATCAACGTCTCTCGAGGTCGCACATCGAATAGTGTGTGGAGATGCACTCACACGGGAGGAAGTGCTAGGACAGGACAACGCTCATACAGGTAATGACCGATGTGTGTCATCACTGGACGGGGCGCCAAACCGGCCACCTCGCCACTACGTAAATTCCGCTTATGCGTTATCTCAAAATTATGTAAACAATCACTACAACACGCCTATTCCACGCCCTCTGATCGCCGTACGCTCGCAGAATGCCTCGCTATGCTATCGACCTATCGTCCTATCGTAATTTAATTATCTATTTAGTATTAGAGAACGTAATATATACTATAATTCTCGCCGAACTATATAATAATTACGATATTACGATATTACCTCGTACGCTATAACGCTTCTTATACTCGTAGAGTGTTCGTAATAGTACTTATAATATAGCTTAGAATCTTCTAAGTAATTAAAAGACTTTAAATATATAGATTAGATATACTTTCTACTTTCTATATTTAACTAATATAGAGGTAGTATAGATTCTTAAACTTAATAGCTTCTATATTAGCGAACGAATATATTGCCGAATATATATAAAGCTAGAGTTTATTAAGAAGTTACCTTCTAATTAGTATATAGCTATAAAGAAAAAGATCGCTTATATATTATCTATTAAGCTAGATAAGTCTATAGTAGAGTTACTTAGTAGATAGAATCTATATATATATATAAGGAATAGGTTTAATCTA